TTTCCAACTGAGTGTAACACTGCTGGTTTCAAGTGACCTCGTTGGGCATTTACAACATAGTGCAGAGGTTTTGAATGCACTGCTAAAATCATGTCCCTGACAATATAGAGAATGGCAGAGCATAAAAATTGGAAATGCAAAAATAAATAAATGGAAAGACAGCATCCTTAATTTATAGAACCAAAAGAAACTCTGTGGGGCATTTTGCCATTAATTTAACAAAGAGCAGGATCAGGCACAATATTTTAAAACATATGCAAATATTAATGTAAGCAGACATATACCATGACTCCTATCTTAAGGGAAAAGCTACCAAAAGGATAAACATGATAAGGGGGAAATTCTGCTCTTGCTGCTTGTGTGTGGTGATAGAAAGGCCAAGGACAGCAGTACAGCAGTGGGAGTAAGGCTATAGGGAGGCAGGGATTCCGAAGGCTGTCACAAAGCGGAGTCCCCAGTAGCTCACTGTGGGAGTATACGGGGCAGGTTGGAGTGCAGAGTTGCAGAGCGCAATCTATAAGTCTATCCACTGCATAGCTCCAGTAGCCACAAATACAGTTTATGGGGGCTTAATGGACTATGCCACTACTGGGGGCTAACTGACTATAACACCAGCTGTGGAAAGGGGTATGGTTATCCTGTGCGCTAGTGCTGAATGGGTGGGGAGTCTATCCTCACAATTCATAATTTCACTCTCTCACCAACCCCAAGCCCATTTAGTTGCTCTTTACCTGGGAATTGGGAATTTCATCCTAAGATAAATGAATTATGATGCAACTTGACAATGCCTATTTAACTGGCCCCTCTCCCTGAAATAATTATAGCAGGGAGCACCTATTTAGACTGCCTAAATGGTTCTATTCTCACCCAGATTTGGGGAGTTTATCACTTCAAAACTTTATTTTTTTTTTACCTCGGCTTTTGCAGGCTTGCTAAAGTTGCCCAAAAGTATGTTTAAGAAAAAAAGTCAGTCCAAAATCACTGCAGCTTTTCTGAGTATAAGAATAGTGCAAATATATTATTTATATAACAACAAAAATGTTGTGACACTTTTTGTTTCTGTACAGCTATAGTGTTGACATGATTCTATGTAGTATCTTGTCTTTTGCTGTGTACACAACAAACTCAAAACGAAAGAACTACATGGCATGCTGGGATCCAAATAACCATGTTTACTAAATATACCCAGTTTGCAAGGCCTCAATATGTATACAAACTGCTGCTTTGGCAGCATTCTGCCAGCTTCTACAACACAGCACACACTTTTAAAAGGGAACGCTACCATATTACTATATACTACAGGCAGAGAATTTAAATTTGGCAGGGAACTTAGGGCAGAGAATTTTATGGAAAAGTGCTTTTGACTTCTCCATTGAAACTAGCTTTAGTCAGATATTTTCCAGGTGGGAGTTCATAGCTTTAGGGCTTTTTCAAATATGTATATATACTGCTACATATACCCAAATTAAAATGTAACCTCATCATAAATTCCTATCTGACTATGATATTATTTCATATAGCTTGTTTTATATGTGCATATAAGGAGAAATATTTTGCTGTGCCTCTAAAAGCATAAAACTTATAGCTCAGAGTGGATAAACCACATTTTCATGCACACAACTTTTCACTCTTTTGATCCTGGGCTGCTGCTGGGGTCACTTGGGCCCTGGTAGTAACTTAAGACTGGTTGAATTTTTTTGTGTGGAAAAAATAAATTCTGTTGAAAACTATGGTTTCTCTGAAATAGAAATTTTCCATGTGGGAGTGTTAATTTTTTGACAAAAAACAAAATAATCCTCTCCCTCGATTTTTCTGATCAGGGAATCAATGCAGAGAATCTTGTCTGTTTTGAGTTGACATTTCAAAAGAGTACAACTTATGCATTTGAAATGAAAAATGTCATTTTCATACATTGAACCATTTTGTTTCCCTATTTCCAAACTGCAGCTACTCAGAATCTTTAATCTTCTGAATTTTTTTGCTATTTTGATTTTTTTATTTCTGATTTGGAAGAGAAACACATTTCCAAACATTGAAATGTCCCATGGGTCACAAATACCATTTTTTAAATGTTAGAATTTATGTAATTGCATACATGTATAAGAAGTTAGGGTATGTCTACACTTGCACCCTCGTAGAACACAATTTTCTAAAAATGTAGGCCATGTTTCTATCTAAGATCTCTCTTTTGGCTATTTTCTTCTTAAATTCTCTTCTCTGTTCTATTGGAGCCATGTTTGCAGGATTCCCTAAGACTGTAGTTCCCTTCTTACCACCATATTAGGGCTATATTAATACAAACTGAAAGCTATACTACTGTTTTGCCTGGATACTGTGCTATGTTGGTATAAAGGATGTGTAGGGCCTCTTCCTCCTGTCCCCTGCCTCTTCTATATTCAGGGATCTCAAAATGGTGGAGAAAGGGAACAGTTCCATGCAGGCTGCTAAATTTGGATACAGGAAGGCCCAGATCTGTGTTGAGTGATGATTAGAGATGATTTCAGTTATGGGTAAGTGATGTCTGTGTGGACTGTGTAAGATTCTACATTATCCTTTTACTAACAGATTTTCTCCTTTCCTGCCTTTCCCCTTTCATTCCAGCCTATTACTTTCCGTGACACTGGCTTACATGAGTTGTGTTATCCTAGTTAGTCTCTGTCTTCCAGGCATCTCTTAAAAAACAGGGAGATGGGCCCTCACAAATTGAATCAGGACTCTGAGACTTAGCTATGTCTGTTCACTTCAACAATTAATATAAAGCCATTTGAAGTTATGGAAGGCAGCTCAAAAGTGGGAAATGTGTTGGGACACATGTACTTGAACTTCAGGCCCAATGAGTACATATTTACTGAGGATACAAGTGGAGGTGGGGTGGTGCTTGAGGTAAATTTATTTGAATGGAGAAGGAATTTTGTAGTGTGTGTGTGTGTGTGCGTGGTGATAATGCTAGTTAATTATGTTGAAGAAAGATCTTGCCTAGAATACTGTTTTGGCCTGCTTGGTTATTAGGTAAGCAGGAGGAGTCAAGAGAGAGAGTAAAAGATTAGGTGCTTAGTTCATTGTGGTAAATAATGCTGTGGGAACATCTTAATTAAAAACTGTGGCATATTCCTGCACTGTGCAGGGATCAGCTCAGTTTCTTGTATTTCTGTCAAACCTTGCTAAATTCTAGAAGCATGTTTCATTGACAACAGTAAGACAGTTCACAAAAAAAATCGCAGTTTCGGAAGACTTTAGGATTTTAAAGTTTTCGTTTTGCTTGTACCATATCTCTTTTCAATGTCAATTCTCTTCAGCTGAAAAACATTTGCTTGGAAAATATTTTAAGGCAAGG